TCAGTGGCATAAAGAAGATGACAAAAGACTAAAATTGTCCTTTCCTAATAGTATTTTTTACTTAGGGTGTTCCTGTTATCAAACTTGCATTTTAATTGGATTGTAAACCTTGGTATGGCTTGTAAAGTATTTTGTGAGGTATTTAGGGAATTGCTAATTCTTGAAAATGCTTCCAAAGACAAATGTCACTTTTGTCTAGTGTTTTCTCTTATGCCTGTTCAACTGCCAGGGTCAGTAAGCCTTCATTATAAATTTAATATAGTAACCAGTAAATTTCTCTTCTGAACTTAATATACGGTTACTCTAATCTTTCTGGAAACTCCAATTCTCATCATTTCAGCCCATATGCTCATGTTTCCTCCAGTGCTCTGGGAACAGAGATCTGGAAAATCAAATTAACTCTGAGGTCAAAAAAAGAAATACTGTGAGTTGAAGCTTGAGGTATGGTCAGCATCCCAGCAGCTTTCCCTTTTCTGCCTCTTTCCTTTGAACTGGGGTTGTTGCAGTGTTAGGTTGACATTTTTGAAATTTCATGGTGTCACTAATGGTGAACAAACCTTACCTGCAGGCTCTGTGAAGTGAACCTGAATTTAGGTGGCCATACATTTAATGTAAACTTCATTAGAATCAAAGGGGAAGCTGAAGACATTTTATGGCAAATCAGTAAAAGTAAAATCACTAAAATCAGTAAAATCACTAAACCCCACTAAAACAGTAAAATGGAAAGATGGCACTTGTTAAATCTACAACTGAATTCCCTAGCTTTTCAATGAAGTAGAAAGAACTTTAACAAAAAAAACCCAACCAAACAAAAAACAAACAAACAAAAAAACCCCACAACATTTGGGCCAACTATGCAGAAACATTTGTCAATTTGCCAGAAGTTTCTTCCTTTTTAATCTGAATAATGTGAAGTATGACCCATATCCTCTGATTTTTATTTTTTATTTTTTTTAATTTCACATGCTTTTCAAAGCTCAGTAAAATGGAATATGTATGTCTAAATATGCCTGACACCAAATTGCGATAAAGTGCTTATAAATTACACATTTGGAGATGACAGCTCTTGCAGGTAAAGTGGTTTATCCAGATACAGTGCCAAAGTGAGACATGAGCAGCAACTGGATTTTCTGATTGCTGAAACGTACAATTACTCCTGTATATAAAAGGAAGCTATATGTATGCCAATAATGTATTAAGAAATGAAATTAATTTACTGTCATCACTTCCCCAGGAAGGTCTGCATTTCACAGATGATAACAAATTCATTCAGCGTTTGCACTAGCATACCCCATCATCCTTAAGATCTGGTATCACAGGTGCAGGGTAGCTAAAGCAGACTGTTCATGCAGATTCTGATGAGTGTTTTCACTAGTTGGGGAAGATGTAAAGAGAGGTGAGGGAGGGGGAGAATGAAATTAAGTATAACCTCCTCTCGCTTCCTGCTTGACCACTGGCACCTCACAGCTTCTCAGCACTCTGTGGTGCCTTCTCCTTTCCCCTTATTGCTTGTGTGTGCTAGATGCGAGGAGCTAGAGAGATGCTGTACTTGTCTACAGCCTTTTAGAGGTAAATGCTATTTTGCTGTTGAAATATATTACACATCAACTTGCAGAAGGACACCAGAACAGGACATACCTGTTAGTCCATGATTAAGTTTTCTGTTATTCTGCTAGTCTGTCCGTAATGAATAATGGACTTAACAGTGTAAAATTTTCTTATACGTTGCACAACTACGACAGCAAAAGACATGGTAGACATGACATTTCCATCTGAATAAAATTAATCTGAGGATAAAAATGATGTACTGAAATGTGAAGACTGTGTAAATTGGAATGGCAGTTTTGGATGCTTTCTGATGAATGAGAACCAGTTTTGCCATTACTCCCTAACGTAGTTAAATTGACCGCAGGGGTAATTCTGGCTGATGGAATAATTTTTCTGGGTTGTTGTCTTTCCTTCTTTTACAATAATAAGACTGTCCTCCCTTCTTTTGTAGTCTCTGGGGGGAAATCTAAAATGATTGCTTGTTAGGAAGTAAGTCTTTCCTGTACTTGTAGATGGATATTTTCATTTCAAGTGAAAGTGATACCTCGGATACCTGCCTCAAGCCAGAGGCATCTCCTGTATACTGAAATGCAGTTTTGGGGCATACTTACAGAAGTTACTAAGATCTTGTTAATTTTACTGCAGTACAGAAAACATCCTTATGGGAAATAAAAGGATATGCTTCAAGGACAATTCTAAAATATTTTTGAGAACTGAAATGTATTTGTGCCACAATTCCTGTTTGATTGAAAGGAAAAAGATTTACTTGAAGACTTAATTATAGTATGTTGCAATTTGCTATTAAATATTTAGATTTAGATTTACGTAACTCATTCAAGCAAATTGTTCTGGAGACATTGGAGTTTTTTTACTTTTTGGCTTTGTTTTGGAAGAACCTGGCAAATGGCATTAAAAAAAGTTGAAAATGTTGTGTCACCAATGAAGGGTTTCAGAAATTGCAAGATACCTTCTTTATAGTGCAAAGAGATTTTAATGGGACAAATCTAAGATTTATAAGACCAAGAAGGCTGAGGAAGTTGGCTTGATGAGAGCATAAGGGTTTAGTGGGAACAGACGTATCTTAATTGCAACCAGGAGAAGTGATGGGCTTTTTTGTTACATCCTCATGGTTGTCGCAGGGCCAACAGTACTTCATTTCTCCAGCTACCTAGGTTCTTCCGTTACCAAAGACCCAGCTGTAATTGTTCATGTTCTCAGTTCTTAAAGTGAAAATCTAACTGCAGATAACTTGCAAGTATGTATTAAAGTGATATTTAGCCCTCTGTTTGTGTAAAGTATCCTGAAATAAAAAGTTGATAGGTTATTTTTTCCCACTTCTTGTAGGGTGTTTATACTTCATGGTTGACAGAATCAGTGTCAGTAAATAACCAAGTTCTTGTTAAAAAAACATTATGCTCCTTTGATATAATCAGAAAGAGCAAAGATGAATTAAATGTCACAGAAAATGCAGAAAATTAAGACTTCTGAATAGCTAAGTATGAAAACATCTTGAATTTTTAATGCAAACTCACATTTAGATTTCTTACTGTGGCTTTGGTTTTTGGGGTCTTTTCTCCTCCTTGCCAATTTTTTTTTTTTACACCAGAACTTTACTTTTCTTATGACTAAAGTACAGGTGAGTATTTCACTCTTCAAAATCTGTAGATTCTATATATTTTTGTCTATGATTTTCCACTTACAATATTATAGTAGTTTATCTAAATTGCAAGGTATTCAGGCAGTTTTTACTGTTTCCACCACATATTTATAAATATTCCTTCCCCTTCTTCACACACCACATAATATTGGTCTGTCAAAAACTGTATTTGCTATTTCAGGTCGTTCTTTAAAGCTTGCTTTTTTCCCATGTTTTCCCTTTCTCTCTTTTTGAGTGGAAAACGACTGACCACGCCTGTTCCTAGGTAATCTGTTAATAGGATCTCACATTTTGAACACCAGTGTTGATGTGCAAGGTTTATTATGCACTTTTTACTTCCCGTGGGTGAATTTTAAATAAGGTAATTTTGATTAGGCAGTCATTTGGGAACCTATGTGTGCCTCTAGGTGGGAAAGGAGGGCAGACTGCCCATGGAAATAATATTGGGCAGAGTTCCCGAAAAAGCAAAAACTAGGAGTCTTGGAATCTTTGCTGATAGTTCAGCAGAGAAGGTGCTACTGGTAGTTTAATAGCAGAGAGGGTTTCTTTTCGAGAAGGGTTTATCAATGCAACAGAGGAAATAATCTGTGCTCTTGGAGGCTTTAGTTCCAGAAAGAGCTGTTTTCTGTGCACACTGTGCAATGGAAACCTTTCCAGTAAACATCTGGCTCCGTGATTTCTGTTGCACATCTTTCTGTTTTCTCTGCCCTCCTGTCAGACTTCCCAAAACTGCAGGGACACAAGTGGCGAAAGAAAAAGCATGAAATATAAAATTGGAATTTAACATCAGCAACATCTGCATTTCTCTTTGCTGATAGGTGTGTGTGCCACTACTTCTGCAATGGTTTAACTGTTAGGACTGTTCTGAGGAGAGAAACTTGCTAGGGATAGTTTGGTTACATAGATCCAAGCTGAAATAGTGGTTTCAGGAAACTTTGTGCCTTTTTCAAATAAAGATGAAAAACTGGCTGAGTACAATGGTGAGATATACCAGTGTTAGAGTGTAATTTTTGTGACTGTAGTCCTAAGGCACAGGTTTTCACTTCAGTTATGGGATAGTCCACGTGTGTAAAGTACGCAAGTGCTGTCTCATGAAGCTGTGGTCACCCTTGGGAGAGGAGAACTCTGTTTTGCAGCCAGCATTTTGGGCGTAGATTCAACAGGACTGAATCAGATTACCAGACTTCCTATTTGGTTTTAGAAATGTAGCCTAGTAAGCAACCTAAAAGCTAGGAGTATAAAGATACTGAGGCTAAAACCCAGTAATGAATAGAAGGTGCTCAATTATTTTTCATCCAGAAAGGCATGTAAGTATGTAGGAAAGTGAGAGTTTAAGCAGCCTATTTCACTTCATTGACCAGTGGTTTTAATCCAATGAGAACAAGCAGGTATAGAAATGTGAGCAGATAATGAATGAACAGGTAGAAACGGAAAAGGGCAAAGAAAGTAATTCATGCTTAGAATGGTACTGCCTCTCATAGATAAAAGGTTATTTTTGATAGACGATGTGCTCTGATGCCTGAATGGTTTCTTTCAAGGAGTTTATCCCTGGAATCCATTGTAGAGTGAAGAACAGTCTGGGGTTTTGTGTCTAAATGCCTTAAATGACAGATGTAATGGATGCTTATTCTTTACATAGGGCAAAAGTGCATAAAAGGTTTAGTGTTACGTTTTGAGTTGTGTTATTTGTGGCACTAATGGCTTTGCAGTTTTTCAAAGCAGCTTGTGTATATCTCTATAGTTTCCAGAATTTTATCGCCAATAAAGTTTAACAGTGTTTCTTTGATTGTTTTAGAGGTGTATTCGATGCTTCCCTCAAGATGGCTGGGTTCTATGGGCTCTACACCTGGCTGACTCACACTATATTTGGGATTAACATAGTCTTCATACCATCTGGTGAGAACTTGAACAATTATAATTATTTATAGATAATATTACATATTTATTGCACGAGGTCAATAGGATTAAGTGTGAAATGATTTTTAAGTGACATTAAATCAGAAACTGGTAACTATCAGAATCAGAGTTGCACAGGCAACCTGAAATGGTTGATTTGTGCAAGTGTCTTAATACAATTTGTCTTAATACAGATTTGGCTACTTTTTATCATAACACCTGAGTCTATCGATGAACTCAATACATGGAATGAACTAAATGAGTAGCTATTCAGATTTATTTCTTTATTCCCTATTCAATACGTAACCTCATTTTTATTTCCTGTTTATTGTTCAAACCCCACTATGAAAATACTATGACAAGTTTAATACTTTTGTGATACGCATTGTGGTTCCAAAGAACTTAGCATTGATTGATTCTTCCAATTTTAATTTAAACTACCGTAGATGTAATTATTCTATGAAGTCTGTACAGCTTTTTCATAGCTCTTACTTTCAAAATCTTTAGTTCCAACTGTGAATTTGTGTAGCACTGCTGAACACTTACTCTAGGGTGTTTCAGGATGGCCAGGGTAGGGTGGAGATAAGCCCCTGATTGCTATCTTAGCTCTGAGTCTCACCTTTTTCTGTTTTTGTAACATGTACCCTGCCAGCTATTTTATGCTGGATGTATTTTTCCTTTTTCTATACAGTCCAGTTCTTTACAAGTTCAGCCTCATGCTGCCTCCCTTGGCTTTTGTTTCTTCCATAGTTAACAGGTGCTGATTTTTCAAGATGCCTACACTTGGGAAGATGTGGTATCATGAAGATGCGTGCTTCTTATTCTTAATGCTATTGCCACACTGTTTTACCAGCTTTTGGTTTTCTGTTATTCTTTTAATCTTAGCTTTGGAAATGGCTGAACAGTTTTCACTGGAAAATCTTCTCCCCTCTTCCTCTTTTGCGTCTCTTCCAATAATAATAATAATAGTAATAATTTTTAAAATGTACTTTCATGTATGAGAAATTGAAAAGGGAAGCTATAAAGCAACAAACCACACTATTCTATAATAGGAAATGCCTGTCCCATAAAGTGCAACTATCTTAAAGGCACTGGTTGTCATTAGATCTACTTAAAAGATAATAGTTCTGTTTCTTTCAGTTATATGCAAAATCTTTGGAAGTTTTTGCCTTCTGGGTAATAAGACCAGAAAATAGCAAGAAACTGATGTTTTAATTTTTTTTGGTATCATGTTCATTCCTGTTGCATTAAATCAGAATGCAGCAGTATTGCATCACTTTAGATTACAAGGGTTATTTGTTTAAGCAGAAAGGTATATGCCTGTGTGTACTTGTGTGCACACAGAACTACAGAAGTCATTGGCTTTATATTTGCCTGGCTTCTCACAGTACTGCCAACATTATTATGGTTGAGTGCAGGAGATGTGGTGAGTTGCAGTGCCTTGTGAGACTTCTGTTTGTATACTTTCTTGCACACAATTGCTAATTTGTGGTTATATAAAAGTTTGAAATGTGCATGGTGGATATAAGTTTACATTTTTCTGAATTGGTGCTTCTTTTTGAAGTAACTCTTTGTGACTGACAGTTGGTGAAGCTTTTCTGTATGGGGAATAGTGTCATTGTCTTTTTGCCCAAAACCACAGCTATAAGACACCAAGAGCCATATGTGGCCCTTTTTTTACAACAATTGATTGAAATGGGACTACCAGTGTAGCAAAAGTGTCAGAATTTAACTGTAGATATATTTGTGAAATCTGTTTCTCTGATATTTTTCTCACCTTTGCTTCTGTGTGCTCTAGCATTGGCAGCAATCCTTGGAGCAGTGCCATTTCTGGGGACATACTGGGCAGCCATTCCTGCAGTCCTCGATTTGTGGCTTGTACAAGGACAGGGATGCAAAGCCATTTTGCTCTTGGTTTTTCACCTCTTGCCAACCTATTTTGTAGATACAGCAATTTATTCAGATATATCAGGGTAAGTACACTGAAGACTTCTTAAAGCTACATATTGCAAAAATGCTTAACAATCACTGCTGCCTTTAGTTAAACTTACTTTTTTGAAGTAAGTAGAACAGTATCTTCAAGCATAGAAATAGATGTAATGATACCATTTTATAGTAAGAAGTCTTTCTGTCCTAAGTACATTTACCTTCTCAGGCCTCTTTTTTGTGTACTTTGTTACTTCAGAGGTCTTGAACTCGTTCTCAAAGTCAGCAAAATCAACTGTTTTGATTGGTAAAGTAATCCTAAGAATACAGTTGCTATATATCTAATAATTGACTAAAGACATGTAACATTTTCCTCTGTCACTAATGCCACATGACGCTGCAAAACAAACAAGAAATCCATGAGCTAATTAGGGACTGGAAAAAAATATTTGAATTTTTCAGAATGGATTGGGAGAATTTTGAGGATTTTTTGAAGCCAGTCTTTATGTTGTGCTACTGTACCCCAGCATAAAAATGTGTTGATTATGGATTGATCTTTAGTGTATTGAGACAGATGAAATTGTGAAACTGGAGATAGGCTTCTACTGAGACTGTAGCCAGTGCTGGTTTTCAGCTGTGGGAGGTAGGCAGAGATTTCTTGAAAAATCTTGCTAGATGTTTGGCTGCCTCTATTGACTTGAAATGACTCCTGGTTTCAGCTTTGAGTTTGTACACAGAGAAACAGACTTCGAACTATGGCAACAAAGTCAATGTCTACAGTGGTATCTGGGGTACAACTGAGCCGAAACATCTAGTGAATCCCTTTATGCAGTTCAGATTAGAAGATAAAGAAGTGCTGTTTAACAGCTGGCAAAGATAGGAACTGTGAAGTTTCGTATGTGCAAGACAAGTTCACAACCAAATGCAAGGTAGATATGAAGTTGTACTCCTCTAGTTACTGCTACAGTTTTGATCATCAACAACAATCCCAGAAAACGCTTTCAATTGAGAGCTTCTAATGAAAAGGTGTGGCTGTCCAGTCAGTCTGTGTTTTAAGTCATGGTCCAGACTTAGTTATGTGCTGGTAATAGTCCCTCATTTGTGTTGACTTTTGTTATAGTAGAGTTAATGTAGAACAAGAACATTAAGTGTTTCTGTTCTGCATTAAATTGGAAATTATTTTTTTTGTCTACAAAATATAATTACACTGAACAGGGAGAACTTAATGATAATGTGCAGAATATTATGAATAATTTTCCTAGACTGTGGCACTAGTTATTTTGCATGAATTAAACAGTGAAGTATAATGAAATTACAATTTTTTTTCCCAACAAGGAATCATGGGTAAACTTAAGACCAGTAGCTATTTAACCAGCCAATAATTCTTCTACTTAATAGAATGCATTTTTTTACTGTAGGGGATGCAGGCTCTGTTTACTGTCCAGAGAATATATGTGGCAGGAATAGATTTTCTGGCGGTGGAGCAAAATTTTATTCTTCCCATTAAATAGAACAGTAAGCATCCTGCTGTCTTGCAGATTAGATGGAAATAGCTATAATTAGGTTATGCAGGGTTTTCTGAATGCATTAAATTTATACCGTAGTCCTGTTCCATCAGATGACCTGTTGTTTGATTTGGCAAACTAGCCAGAAGAATGTTTGAACTGATGCAAATGCTGGGGGAGGGGGGGAGGAATAATGTTTTTAAAGGTTTAGAAATGAATCATGTGTCTACTGTTGAAGAAACATAAAACTTTAAGGTCAAATCTGTCCCTTCAAAAAAAACCAATCTGACCCTACCAGTAGGTTAAATTTGATCTAGGTAAGACATGATTGAGTGAGGTGTATATGATGTAATAGGTCATGTTTCTTGGTCTCATTCTCCTCACAGTTGTGATGAAGACAAAAGACAGCCATTGTCAGAGTTGGGTAGAAGTCAGGACCATGGTAGACAGCTGGCAGAAACTGCTGGAACTCTAAACTGACTGGCTGGTATTTTCAACTCCAGTGCACTCAGAATTTAGAGCAACTTCCTGAAAATTGGGTGCTAAGTTTCAACTGTAGTGTTTCTTATATCATTCCATATTACCATCATTGTTTTAGCTATATAGATTATATAAGCATCATAAGCAGGTTTTGTGTAAATGCTGTTGGTCGGATTCATGTTGTGTGTCTGAACTGGAACACGGAAAAGAAACAGAATGGTTTACTTCCTACCTTAATAGTTCTTACCAAAAAGCTCCATTGACCTCAACTTTCCAGTAAATATTAGTATGTTCATAAAAATCTGGTTTTGTTTCTCATCTGGAAACATCACAAGTGATCAGAACAGACACTCAGTCAGAGGTTGGTTTAGAACAAACCAAGAAGACATGACTCTTTATTCAAAGAATATGCACTAACTGTTCTTGAAAGAATGCAATGCAAGTTGCTGTCATCATGTAAATTAATGTTGTTGCTCAAGGGCTCTCGTATATGTTGATAGTTGTCTTAAAATTTAACAGTTCTTGGCCATGATGCATGAGCAGTCTTTGTAAACAGTCATCTTTCTGTTTTCAAAATGGAAATGGTTTTGCCACTAACTCCTTCTGATATTCTTCAGCAGATATCTATAAAGTAGCTGCACCACTGTGGATATTGCATTGTATACTATAAAACATTACTTGATCTGTGTGCAAATATAGCGCAAAATACAGCCTGGAATATTTGTGCCACCATTCAAACAACAGTTTATAGTGTAAATATGTGTATCTATGGCTAGCTATCATTTTCTTAGCTTAATAAAACCTTATGGTTAATTCAGATTTCATAATAGAATGCTGGTTGCTGTTCTTATTTTAATTTTATTCGGCTTGTGCCATAATTCCAGAGGGGGTCATCCTTATCTGACGGGTCTTGCGGTAGCTGGTGGAGCATATTACCTGGGGCTGGAAGGAGCCATCATAGGACCAATTCTACTTTGCATACTTGTGGTTGCTTCCAACATATACAGTGCCATGTTGGTGAGTCCAACAAACTCAGTGCCCACTCCATCACAAGCAGCATGGCCATTACAGATTTACCGGTAAGTTATAAATGTCTTCCGTGTACACATTATGTTTTTACGTGGATCAGTGTGTATGCACATAGGTATAGAGAATGTGTGCATGAGTTTTACATACGAGTGTGTGTACGCTCCTACGTACATATTAAAGTATTTGGAGAGGATTCAGCTATCCTGTATTCCAAACATAAAAATTACGGTGAAGTAAAAAACTCACTGGAACTTGTATACTTGAAATGTTTGTTTAATGTCTCTCAGCTTCTTAGAGAAGGCTGTTTTAGAAAATTCACTGTTAATACCTTTGTATCCTGTAATTTATGTGTTGCAGTTGTGCTAGGAGATGCTTGAACATCCCTTTTTAGTCTAAAACTACTATTCATGGGTATCTAATAGTGTTCATTTTCCTTAATGAGGCCTGCCTACAAATACTGCATTTTTGTGTTACTGAACAATACTGCAAAATATAGATAAACATACTTGAAATTTAAAAAAATGAGATAACGTTATATCCCATTATTCCATTAAAAGTAAGATCTTGATTAATCTCTTTATTGAAGTTACTGACTGTGGAATATAGAAATGTATCTTTAAACTGTGCAGTTAAGGAATGGGATGAATAAACTCCTAATTGAATTCTTAATTAGAGCTGGAAATCATATTGTGAAGTTATTAATGACAGTAGCCATTTTAGTGTCTCTAGTGTCTTGTTCAATTACGTAGGTTAACTCATTATATATGTATCTTAAAGAGGATTCTGTGCTCATCAGAAATAATTCTTTGCTTCGTTCACGTGAATAATGCTGCCATCTTTCATATAGGCATTTAGGAGAAAAACCACTAATTGGACCTGTCTGTAGTCTCTGACTTGTAGATGTTATGTTCCAAGACTTTGGTGTGTACACCGTAGATAAAGCTTTCCACAGTATACACAGTGTTTGTTTCCGGATTCATTTGTAAGGAGCTCGATATTTGTAATTGCTCGACATATTTGAGTCTTACTCTCTTTTTCTTAATTTTTTTTTCTTCCTTTCCTTACTGCCCTCCAGGTCACCACGAGAGAGTCCTGAGGAGATGAAAATGGCTGAAGAGTGATGAAGGTGCTGTGCTGCATCTGTTTGACATGAGAGAGTCGCTGTCTTCTGTCTTGAGTTCCAACAGCCATGGCCTTCTGTCCTATTCCAGCTGTGCCTAGGAGCAGCTCACCAGGAAGCAAAGCTTGGGTTTTAGGAGAAACCACTTCTCAAAAATCTGCTGGCCTTACTGAGCACTTTGCCTCTTCAGGAGAGAATGTCTACTTCTCATGGCTTTGCATCCTAACACACGGTTCAACTGCCTTGTTGAAGACCTTGAAGATTCTCTGTCTTTATAAAAAGAATGGTTAAGAGGACAGGTATATCCACTGGAGTGGATAGCATCTTATCTGCTGAAATGACTGACTTGGCTTTTATTTATTGGATTATTTGTGTTATTAAATTGTAGTATCTTTAAAGAAAGCTAATTCCAAATTATTTGTTCTCAGTTAATCTGGTGGCAAAAAAGGTATAAACCACTCATTGTTAAATAACAAGTAGAATATAATTATTTGCTGCTGCTCAAAGTATTTCGTTGGAGACTTTGACCACTGTAAGTTGTAATAACACCTAAATATTATACTGTTATACACACTGAAATCTAATGTTGTTGGAGACTGGTATTTCTAATATCTTCTTGAAATTAGTAGATATGCAAACTGTTAAATGTGAGTTTTCCTCATATTGAAAGAGAAGGAGTTATTGAAATAGCTTAAATCTTGCCCTCATTTGCAGTGAGATCTGAGTATTTTGCTGTTTACCCACCATCCCAGTGGAGTCATCTTGTTAACCAAATTTAAACAAAGGCCTTAAGTATTTTCAGGCAGAGGTAATGTACAATTGTGATGTCTACTTCCAGTAGCAGGAAGACATTGAATGGAGGTTGTTTAATGTTGGTTTTCAAATGCTGTGACTGAGTTCAGTTAACTTTTCAAACAAATAAAAGTTTCCTTCAAAAGAAGTAGGGGAGAGAATATGGGTTTTGTTTTAGTTTAGTTTGATTTTTTTCCTCCTGTAAGCCTCTGGCTAGATATCTTAATAAGATATAAGATACATGTTACATATTAAGATATATCTTAATAAACAGGGTTCTTAAATTCCTGAAACGTTACCTAGGTCACAGCATGAAACTACTCTAATGCGTTTCTTCTATACATAGTTTTGCTTAAATTGCAGTTTTGGTGACAATTATTTTGTATTGGTTATTGAAATATTTTGACACAATGAATCTTAATAAGTGGATCCTTTTTATAAATGGAAGTGGGTTTTTTGGTAGAAAAACTCAAACAGCTTTTACACAAATACAGTGAGGCCCTAGGTACAAAGTAGCAGATGTACATGCTTAACCAAAGAACCAACTTTCAGTTTCTAGTATCTTCTCTTGAGTTTATTTAGGAGTTTGATCGATAATGAGTTATTCAAAATACAGGGATGCCTTGCATTTGTTTTTGATGGTTAATGCGACTGTTGGAACAAAAATCTGTTCTTATCTAGGGATAAGGTTATCTAAGATTTGTGTACAAACAGCTCTTGGTAAATTTGATGTTTGATTTATTCAAGTTGCAGAAGATAGATTTAGAAGGCTCATGTTTCATGATATTGCCTGTGTTTTCACACTGTTTCTAAAACTACATTATCATAGAAAGTGATGGGAATGTGCTTTGCTACTTAGCAAGAAAGTCCTGGTAAAGGTTTGCAATAAACAAGCTGCCTACTAAGACACAAATACCCTACTCCTCAGATTCTCGAAATCAGCTGCTGCAATTTTACTAATGAAACTTTATGTTTAAATGGGGGGTTTCAAGCATACTGGTGTTGCATTTGCAAACTTGCAGGTATGTGTTTGGAGGACAGACTCAGGCTTAATTTAGTGGTTTGACTCAAGTTCTTTGACATACAGAAACATCGCGCTTAACATTTTAGTTCTGAAAGACCTACACATCAGTTTCAACTAGCTGAAAAAGAAGGGTATATTGCTTGAATTAAGTAACTGTCCTGTGTTTTAATTTTCCTTGGTTGTGAGGATCACGTAAAATCTTTAAAGAAGCACTGTTTTACTGTTGTTGCTGGCTAGGGTGGAGGATGACAAAGAACCTGAGACTGTCCCTAAGTATTCCCCCAACACACTAACCAGCTTGAAGTCCCTCAGTTCAAGAAGGACAGGGAACTGCTGGAGAGAGTCCAGCGTAGGGCTGCAAAGATGATTAAGGGAGTGGAGCATCTCCCTTATTGTGGAAAGGCTGAGGGAGCTGGGTCTCTTCAGTTTGCAGAAGAGGAGACTGAGGGGAGACCTCATTCATGTTTATAAATATTTAAAGGGTGAGTGTCACGAGGATGGAGCCAGGCTCTTCTAGGTGACAAGCAATGATAAGACAAGGGGTAACGGACACAAACTGGAACACAGGAGGTTCCACTTAAATTTGAGAAGAAACTTCTTCTCAGTGAGGGTGACAGAGCACTGGACCAGGCTGCCCAGAGAGGTTGTGGAGTCTCCTTCTCTGGAGACATTCAAAACCCGCCTGGACGCCTTCCTGTGCAACCTCATCTAGGTGTTCCTGCTCCGGCAGGGGGATTGGACTAGATGATCTTTTGAGGTCCCTTCCAATCCCTAACGTTCTGTGATTCTGTGAGCACACTGTGATGCTTGGGAAAATTATTACTTTTTTAGTTCAGTATTTTGCACTGAAATATTGTGTGCTCAGTATAGCCTCTTGTAGACAGCATTTAAAGAAAATTGCTAGCAAGAAATATGCATCTCTAATGTATTTCTACATTGCTCCTCTTTACTCACTGGTCGAGGCATTTCTGTTGTCCACATTTGCCATCCTAGTTATTTCTGAGACAGTCTTTCAGATTTCTATGGTACTCAAAATAGTCATTTTAAGGACTCATTATAAAGCATTCTTTTGTTTTTAAGTTTTCCTCTTCTCCAGCCCCCTTCGCTTGACCTTAGACCAAAGAAAGGTCTCTGCTGTGAAGATTTAAATGCTATTTCAGACATAGTTGTCTTCAATAACAGGAAATCAGTAAAATCAGTTGAGGAGAACATTGCTATTTTGAAATATTCCTTTCCCAACATGAAGATAAATGATTTTGTATAGAGAATTCACATCTGATGTAGTCTTGTTAGTTTGCCCTACTTTTAGATGAGGCTTCATATTGATGCTTCCTGTTTCAAATTCAAATAAGAGTTGCTGTGAAGGAACCACCTTCAGACCAGTACAGTCTTTCTCAGCAAATCACAGAATCACTCGGTTGGAAAAGACC